GTTTACTAGTTATGCTTTGTTAGGAAAACATTTTACTATCATGATAATGGAATTGCAGGTTTGTCTGTAAAGAAGTTAAATGAGGAAATTCGAGGCTGGAGAAGAAGGTATGCAAAACTCTGAGGTAGAGCAGAACTCCATGGTGTGGAGTTAAACTTCAAGCATCGTAGGGAAGCTACACGTTTCTTTGTGAAGTCAGTGGAGGAGCTTTACTGATGTTGGAGTAGGACTTCATTTGCATCAGACTGGAAGAACTGAAGAAGTGCCTTTCCATATTTTGGAGGACCTAGATATATGCATTGATAGTGAGCTCTAGGAGCAGAAAAGAGGATCATGTGGACACACTAATGTATGAAGGGAGTGCTTGATTGTTTATTGGCATGTAAGACACAGTGTAAGGAGAGAGATTTATTTCTTTTTTGTTGGGGATACTTATGTAGATGTTCCAGGTATTTCAGTCCCAAGCAGATATTCATATTCTTTTATGGTTGAAGATATATTATTGTTGTGCCATGCATTTCAGCCCCAAGCAGTGAGGAGGTCATAGGTTGTATGCCACGAGTCGTGCAACAGCCTGATATAGATAGTTGATGAAGTTAGGATATATTAGAATCCTACCAGTTTGTAGCAGCTTAGAGTATTTTGTGGTAATATGGTATCATATAATTTTTGTGTGTGTGCGTTTTTAACAAAGACCAGTTTTTTGTTAATAGCTGGTCTTTGCTCTTGTCCTGGTGAGGTTTCCCAGAGAGAGAGAGAGAGAGAGAGAGTGTTACGGCCCTTATTGGGTCGCAACTGGGTTCTTTCTCTGATGTTATTAGAGTTTGGGTATCCGGCCCCAAGTTAGTAGTGGCTTTCAAGGGGAGTGTTCCATAACGCAAGTAAATTAAAGGGGAAGGGATACAAATACACTAAATTAAATATATATATTACCACCACCAATAAATAGATATATAAACTGTCACACGGGGGGTATAAACATTATAATGTACAAAATGGTCTTCCCCTGAAGACACAGAATGCTCCACGGTGCTCAACGATGCTTAGCCCTGGTTCTCTTCTTGTGGCCTCACGATGAATCCTTCGATTCTCTAGGCGAGTCTACCCTGGCCACAGGCCAGCCAAATCACAGTCCCACTGGGTGCACTGTCGTGGAGGCCTTCAATCACAAATCCAGCCTGTAGCTGGCAGGTTCCAATCAGCTCCGCTGCGTAGGCCACTCCACGACCGATACTAGGGTTGCGAGCCCTAGGCAGGAGCCTCGTGTGATTCTGCTGATCACTCCTCTCTCAACACCCCAGTGGCTAGTCTTCTCCACCAGTCAGCCCCGGGTACGACAATTCCTGGTTCTGCCACGTCACAGGCAGGCTAACACAACAGTGTTCATCCGGGGGGTGACTCACAGCTTCTGCAGCAAACACGTGGAGATACTATGGCTGCCTTGGGTAGACTGCCCATCGTCCAATCCAGCAGTCCCAGGTCGACTCTGTAATCAGACACGTCATCAGTACTAGGGACACCCTAGGGTACCTCACTTACAGGCTTAGACACAAACGCCCACCTATCCACTCCATAGATGGCGTTGCTGTCTAAGCGTCACCTAACCAGAGATCAGCAGCGGCTATGTCACGAGCTGATTAAGACGGGAATCCAGCCCCTGTGGCCGGTATACCCCGTCCTCACTAGATGGCGTCGTCCATTTGGAGGGGGTTTCGGGAGCTGACCCTCAGATGGCGTTGTCGTCACCGCTCCGTGCTACGACGCTGGGCTCGGGTCCGTAACAGAGAGAGAGAGAGAGAGAGAGAGAGAGAGAGAGAGAGAGAGAGAGAGAGAGAGAGAGAGAGAGAGAGAGAGAGAGAGAGAGAGAGAGAGAGAGAGAGAGAGAGAGAGAGAGAGAGAGAGAGAGAGAGAGAGAGAGAGAGAGAGAGAGAGAGAGAGAGAGAGAGAGAGAGAGAGAGAGAGAGAGAGAGAGAGAGAGAGAGAGAGAGAGAGAGAAGGAGAGAGAGAGAGAGAGAGAGAGAGAGAGAGAGAGAGAGAAGGAGAGAGAGAGAGAGAGAGAGAGAGAGAGAGAGAGAGAGAGAGAGAGAGAGAGAGAGAGAGAGAGAGAAGAGAGAGAGAGAGAGAGAGAGAGAGAGAGAGAGAGAGAGAGAGAGAGAGAGAGAGAGATGTAGGAGAGAAAGAGAGAGAGAGAGAGAGAGAGAGAGAGAGAGAGAGAGAGAGAGAGAGAGAGAGAGAGAGAGAGAGAGAGACAGACAGACAGAGAGAGAGAGAGAGAGAGAGAGAGAGAGAGAGAGAGAGAGAGAGAGAGAGAGAGAGAGAGAGAGAGAGAGAGAGAGAGAGAGAGAGAGAAGAGAGAGAGAGAGAGAGAGAGAGAGAGAGAGAGAGAGAGAGAGAGAGAGAGAGAGAGAAGTGGTCACGGTTGCAGACTGGAGAGACAGTGAGAGAGAGACAGGGTGACAGTGAGAGAGACAGAGAGAGAGAGAGAGAGAGAGAGAGAGAGAGAGAGAGAGAGAGAGAGAGAGAGAGAGAGAGAGAGAGAGAGAGAGAGAGAGAGAGAGAGAGAGAGAGAGAGAGAGAGAGAGAGAGAGAGAGAGAGAGAGAGAGAGAGAGAGAGAGAGAGAGAGAGAGAGAGAGAGAGAGAGAGAGAGAGAGAGAGAGAGAGAGAGAGAGGTGGTCACGGTTGCAGACAGGGTGACAGTGGACAATAATTCAATAAAGGGGAATTTAGGAGATTATCTCAAACAAGGAGAGAGCGGGGAGTCTCGGCGGCTCGAGTAGGGTGTGTACTCAAGACAATGAGGCCAGTTATGGAGTCGCATAAAGTTGACACTGAACACCACTCCAAGATCAAGAAGCGTAAAAGGTGTTCTCCCCAGGTAAATTGCAAGCACTCCAGTGTTCATTGCTGGTCGACCAACGGTAGTGGGAGTGTAGTTGCCATGGTCGGTTGTTTTTCTCTCAGGAAGTGGTTGGAGTCTTTATTCGTCGGTACTCAAGAAACAACCTGGTGCAATAACTAGCAGGTCTTTTGGAACAAATCAACAACCCCCTAGATATCCTCTCCCCCTATGCACACCCATCCTGTATTTACACACGCCCTCCCTATCTTTCCCCACGCACACCCATCCTGTCTTTGTTCACACAAGCCCACCCCATCTTCCCCCACGCACACCCATCCTGTCTTTCTTTATACAAGCTCTCACAATCTTTACCCAAGCACACCCATTCGGTCATTCTTCAAACACACCCTCCCCCATCTTGCCCCAAGCAAACCCATCCTGTCTTTCTTCACACATACCTTCCACATCTTTCCTCCCCCCCCCCATGTCACAACTGAGCGCATGTGGTCATGAATTTTAAATGTTGTCTAGGGAAATAGAGGCTTTTGCTTGGGCCAAGGGAAATTCAAGGAGTAGGGGAAACAGCCAAGTATATAAGTCAAAGATTTATATGCATAAGACGTACGATATAATTCTTGGCATTAATTGTACTCCTTATAACTCAAGGTCAATCTGAAGGTAACAACTTGGTTATTAAAACTTCCAAACGGGCTCTGGATACCCACTGGCCCTCAGTCCCTAAACTGGAACTGTGCACACACAGCCCCCACACCTGTCAACCGGTGGCACACATTTATAAACCACTAGTAAACCTCAAGAACATGCCACTAACATTGGAGACATAGGGAACGCCTAATAAACACTTAACAGTAAGACATGTTATAAATTGAATTCTCATCAAGTCCCTCGATTCGTTGTAAAGACAAATTTATTGAGTAGGCATAAAAAGGTATCTACCATTTATAATGGATCCAGTGCAATGGATCAATTTTTATTATGAGTATAAGGGGGAAATGCAACTAGAATATTGAATGTGTATTATTCCTCGACAATACCTGGATTATCGCCAACTGGCACCAATATCGTACTATTCCAAGAAAAAGGACAAGTCAAGGCATTAGCGTGGTGGATTTAATTAAGTATGAGCCAACATGATTGTGGAGTTGGGCTTCTATGGAGATTAACTGTTGGCTTTTGCCAAGGAAGCAACGTTAACTAATATATAAAATGTTCTGTGAGACTTTGTTTGGGATAAATAAGATGCTTGTGTGGTGAATAGAAGGCTTATTAGTTTGGATAAAATTTTATTTCAAAGAGCGCTAGATTGCATTACAGAGCTTTTGGAAACAAGACGGGCAACAGTATTTTTAACGTGTATGAGTATCATGCAATTCGTCACTGATCTCGTCCTCTATTAGTTTGATGCGATAATCGATAACTTTTCGGGTTTCACTCCTAGCAATTCTTACATTCTCCAGAATATATTATCACATGTATATTAGTTCTCGTGAAAATATAAGTGGGATATACCATTAGCTTACCATCCTCCTTAGGCCCAACTAGCACCTAAACTATTTTGATGAATTGATAAAGAAGATATTGTGGGAAGCGAACTACCGAAGATAAAGTTAATAGTAGAAGAGTTGAAGTTAGTCATAAACCAGCTTAGATGGCGTTAATTGCAAGAGTTGATGTGTGTGGTGTTCCAAATGAGATGGTGATAAACATAAAAAAAATGATGTGAGCGGCGAACCAGCTGAGATGATGTTAGAAGTAGGAGAGTTAATGTTATGTAAATAGCTGAAGAGCTACCAGTATGAGTACTGACTGACCGTGTGGTGTAGTGAACAACGCCCTCAGCCCACAAGCTCCTCAAGGGAGCAAATGGCCTACGTTTAATCTCAGGCAAAGAGGGAAGGCGTGGCATGCATAATTAACTATGTTTCCCCATTCACCTAGCAGTAGTTGGATACATGGTCGAAATGCTACTTTTGTATCATGTTCCAAGGATAATTAATCGGGGTAAACCATAAGGTAACCATTGTAAATGACGTCTTTTTAACTTGCAAACAAAAATAATAAATCGCCTAATAATATATTTTTACGTAAAAAAACTAATAATATATAATTAAGTTTTACCATTGCTTCATCGACTTTCAGATGCTTGTCACCATCGCTAGCATCCAGGGATTCCAAATGATCACTACAGTTGTTACCAACCCATTCGCCGAGGAAGTTCTTCTTCGTCTGGGTTGTAAGGTCCAAACCACATTTGACTTCCACACCCTGGAAGAAGGTCTGCTTGACGTGTCCCGCATGGATCAAAAGCAGTTCAAAATAATGACTAAATACCTATCACCAACAACACCAAAATCACAGTTATAACCAGGAAATAATGAAAGTTTGTTCTATGACTGTTATTTTGTTTTTTGTAATGCTTTCCTAGGACAGTCAAATTTTGTTTGAATGAATATTATGCAACTCTTAACACATGTTGAAAAACACACAAACACATACAAAACGTTGTTGAAACCTTCACTAATGTTTCTACAGGGTCGTGGGAAAGAAAAGTTGCAAGTATGGATAAACAGGCACGTGAGCAACATTTAACCCAAGAATGGTAAAAGTATTTCTTTATGTAATTTGGCAAATTCTATTTTAACAATACTTTCTCCTTTATATTAAAAAAAAGTTTTTTTCATTTTTAAATATGATCATTTTGAGACATAAAATAATATTAATTATAAATGTTGTGTCTGAATTGGATGAAAGGTGGGCAAAACATTTAGTTTCTAATTGTTTATTTATTTTGTAATATGATTTTGCTTAAAATTGTTTTTTAAAACTATTTGCTAACTTATATATTAAATAATAAAGTTTTCATATTTTTTTTTTTAATTTATAAATTGTATTTATGTACTTCATTTAAAACATTAACATTAATTATAAATGTTGTTTCATAGGTGCATGAAGCAAATAAGCAGCATTTAATCTAACTTTTTATTGGAATAAAAAATTTAAGTGCATCAAAAAGATTCTTTATTATACCAGATTTTACATTAAGAACAAATAGGTAAGTGTAACTAGATGAGTATAATTATATGAATGTAACTAGGGGAGTACAAGTAGGTGAGTATAACTAGGAGAGTACAACTAGGTGAGTACTTCAAGGCGAATAATGGTAGGTGAGTTCTGTTAGGGTGAGAAGAACTTGTTGAGTACAACTAGATGAGTATAGCTATGTTAGAACAAGTAGGTGAGTACTGCTAAGTAAAGTACAGGTAGCTGCTTAATCGAGCTCGATGACTACAACTAGATGAGCACAACTAGGTGAGTACAACTAGGTGAGTACAGCTAGGTGGTTACAGCAAGGTGAATACATGTAGGTGAGTTCTACTAGGATATTACAACCAGGTTAGTTTAGCTAGATTAATATAGATAGGTACTCACCTAGTTTTGCTTGCTATTTCTTAGATACTCCCTTATCTACTGGAGACCCCTACCAGTTACTCTTGCCTGTTTCACCAACTTATGCACCAGCCTCTTATGGGGTACTGTGTCAAAGGCTTTCCGACAGTCCAAGAAAATGAAGTCTGCCCAACATTCTCTTTTTTGCTTAATCTTTGTTACATAATCATAGAATTCTGGTAAACAAGTTAGGGAAGCTTTATGATTCATGAACTCATCTTGATGGTGTGTCACGAAGTCCCTTCTCTCTAGATGTGCTACTTAGTTTTTTCTCACGATCTTCTAGATCACCTTGCGTGATATACAATTTAAGGACACTAGCCTGCAGATCATTGCCTCTTGACTGTCACTGTTTTTGTATATTTGGACTACATTAATCGTCTTCCATATTTTTGGTAAGTCTCTTGTCTCCTGAGACCGACTATACACACTTCTGCACACTCATTAAGTACCCAAGGTGAGATTCCGTCCGGATCAACAGCCTTTCTTACGTCCAAATCCAACAGATGCCCTTTAACCTAATCTTTGGTAATTTCGAACCCTTCCAAGGCCGCATGGTTTACTGCCACCTATGTGTGGCTGTGTGTGTGTGTGTGTGCATGTGTGTGTGTGTGTATTCACCTAGTTGTGTTTTGCGGGAGTTGAGCTTTGCTCTTTTGACCCAACTCTCAACTGTCAATCAACTGTTTACTAACTACTTTTTCTCCCCACACCGCACACATATACACACACCAGGAAGCAGCCCGTGACAGCTGACTAACTTCCAGGCACCTATTTACTGCTAGGTAACAGGGGCATTCAGGGTGAAAGAAACTTTCCCCATTTGTTTCTGCCTGGTGAGGGAATCGAACTCACGCCACAGAATTACGAGTCCTGCATGCTATCCACCAGGGGCCAGATTCACGAAGGTACTTACAAATGTTTTTCTTCTTAGCGCCTTCGTGGCGGCTACGTCGGTATTCAGGTAGCTACACTAAGAAGGAAAACCTTCGTAAGTTTGGTCCATCATCTAAGTGTGCTGTCGGGCACTTGTAGCGTTACGTAAACTGGATATAACTCAATTTTTCTCTACTACATAACACTGAGATCGATTTTAATATAAACAAAAGATTATTGGCGAATCTCATGAAGAGGAGTCCTTCGTGTTAGTTATATATGCATTCTCTGCTTGAACCTTAAAGTAATTATGTTTTATGATAGTAGAATTAGTTTTTATAATAGCAAGATATTATACCAGTAGTTATTAAGTAAATAAACTCTGGTGAACATGAAATATGAGAGAAGGTTATGAGCCCTGCCTGATGGAAGCATTTACTATCACCAAATGCCCCTGTTCACCTAGTAATCAGTAAGGGTGTACCTTAGATATACGTACGCAGTTTTAATTTATTTTTTGTGGTTTTATTTTGAAATTAAATCTGGGTGAGACATAAAAGAAAAATATCCTGCACAAATAATGTTAGGTTAGGGTAAAAACTTCAAAAACTTTTCTCATTGAATACGTGAACCTATAATTATGACTATATGGACTATTAAAAAAGAGAGAGGGAAGTAGGGGTTCAAGACCGCTTCCTGTTACACAATTTGGCTGTGTAACAATCAGTAAGTAATTATCAAAAGAAGGCACCAAGCTGGGAAGGCTATGTAGCACCATTGTGTGTAGCAATAAATCTATTTTTTTTAACAAATAATGCACCTGTGAGAAACAAATCCTATCAGCTGTAAAAATATTGATGCAGTTATTTAAATAAAAAATATAATGAAATAAATATTACTAGTTTATTTTTATGCTATCTTTTTGTACTATACAGTACAGTATATCGAAAGAAGTGAAAATTTGAGACATAATGCACAATTTAATGAATGATGCAAAAGAAATATGACTACTGTATTATATTTCAAAATGAGATCTTCATGATCCATGGTTAACATGATTTAATAAGGGTAATATTGGTAACACAAACTATAATTTAAAATCTTTATTACTGATATTTTTGTATTAAGAAGCTTAGGTATACATAGCAATGTGCTGCTACCCTATTCTGTATGGAAGATTACACAGTGTAGATAAAAAAACTAGCTATAAGTTCATCTAATACTCCTATCTCACAAGATGGTTAGTCATACATGGAATCAGGGGAGAAAATACCTGCATTCAATACAAAAAACAAATCAACTCTGACTAAACAATACCTTCACGATTTTCACAAGAGGTAAGCACTGAATCATGGAAACATTATATTAGAACTACTCTTACTAGTTTCTACAAGACTCCTCTTAAACAATGTATTTTTTTTAACATGCTTAGGTATACACAGCAATGTGCTGCTTCTCTATTCTGTATGAAAGACCACACAGTGTAGATCAAAAACCAGTTACAAGCTCATCCAACATTCTCACCTAACAGGATGGCCAGTCATACATGGAATCAGGAGAGAACAAAATACTTAAGGCTAATCTATTAGCCTCCACTGGCAAAATCTGGGTGCAGCACAAGAATATCTTCCAATATTCCTGAGTGTATGAAGTAATTACAGAGCTCAAAGTGCCTCTTATCATTTGGTATGAAGTCACTGATAACAGGGCAATCACAGATATAGTGTTGGAGAGTATGTCCTCTCAAGTAGGACTGAAAACAGATGTTTTTACCCAGATGGTTAAAACCCATGGAACCGCCTATCCGCTGAAGCCGTACCTGCCAAAATCCAGCTAGAAAATATCATTAAGACAATTGGCGGGACTTAACAAGCCCCCGGCTTTTTGTCCTCGTCGAGACCACTAGATAGTTAGTGGCCCTTGGGTAAATTTTGGTAAATAAATACGTAAATAGATACCATCGCTTCTCAAGTCTTGGGAGCGACAAGGGGAGCAATACACTATCTCTTAGAATTACGTTGGTAAACAAAATATGTAACATATTTGTATACTAAAATGTCGGTGCTGACTTTACAAGTTGAAAAAACATTGTTTTACTTCTAAATATACTAATTTTATAAGAAAATTCGACATAAATATGTCGCAAGTGGTCACGGATAAGCATTGATATGGCAGCGTCGTGATTGGCTACAGGTGTAATATGAAAAATGTTACCTTCTCTCTAATTGGCCAAACTAAAAGCCTACCTAGTGACATATAGCAAGACCTAAGTCAACTACTTTGAAATCTTCGTAAGTTTACATCTCTGAATCGCCCATTGGCGCGTTCTAAGCCGGCACTTAGGAACCTTCGTAGCAAACATACTTACGAAGAAATACATGGAGCTTCGTGAATCTAGGTCCAGGCTACCAGGCCCCACAGATCAGGTGTGTGTCTGTGTATTCACCAAGTTGTGTTTGCGGGGGTTGAGCTTTGTATGTGTGTGTGTGTGTGTGTGTGTGTGTGTGTGTGTGTGTGTGTGTGTGTGTGTGTGTGTGTGTGTGTGTGTGTGTGTGTGTGTGTGTGTGTGTGTGTGTGTGTGTGTGTGTGTGTGTGTGTGTGTGTGTGTGTGTGTGTGTGTGTGTGTGTGTGTGTGTGTGAGGGTGTGTGTGAAGGTGTGTGTGTGTGTGTGTGTGTGTGTGTGTGTGTGTGTGTGTGTGTGTGTGTGTGTGTGTGTGTGTGTGTGTGTGTGTGTGTGTACTCACCTAGTTGTACTCACCTAGTTGTGTTTGCGGGGGTTGAGTTCTGGCTCTTTGGTCCCGCCTCTCAACCGTCAATCAACAGGTGTACAGATTCCTGAGCCTATCGGGCTCTGTCATATCTACACTTGAAACTGTGTATGGAGTCAGCCTCCACCACATCACCCCCTAATGCATTCCATTTGTCAACCACTCTGACACTAAAAAAGTTCTTTCTAATATCTCTGTGGCTCATTTGGGCACTCAGTTTCCACCTGCGTCCCCTTGTGCGTGTTCCCCTTGTGTTAAATAGACTGTCTTTATCTACCCTATCAATCCCCTTCAGAATCTTGAATGTGGTGATCATGTCCCCCCTAACTCTTCTGTCTTCCAGCGAAGTGAGGTTTAATTCCCGTAGTCTCTCCTCGTAGCTCATACCTCTCAGCTCGGGTACTAGTCTGGTGGCAAACCTTTGAACCTTTTCCAGTTTAGTCTTATCCTTGACTAGATATGGACTCCATGCTGGGGCTGCATACTCCAGGATTGGCCTGACATATGTGGTATACAAAGTTCTGAATGATTCTTTACACAAGTTTCTGAATGCCGTTCGTATGTTGGCCAGCCTGGCATATGCCGCTGATGTTATCCGCTTGATATGTGCTGCAGGAGACAGGTCTGGCGTGATATCAACCCCCAAGTCTTTTTCCTTCTCTGACTCCTGAAGAATTTCCTCTACCAGATGATACCTTGTATCTGGCCACCTTCTCCCTACACCTATCTTCATTACATTACATTTGGTTGGGTTAAACTCTAACAACCATTTGTTCGACCATTCCTTCAGCTTGTCTAGATCTTCTTGAAGCCTCAAACAGTCCTCTTCTGTTTTAATCCTTCTCATAATTTTAGCATCGTCCGCAAACATTGAGAGAAATGAATCGATACCCTCCGGGAGATCATTTACATATATCAGAA